TTAGTATTGTACTATCATCAAGTCAAATATCTGAATGGAATTCCTGCAAAACAAATACTTAGAAAAAATATTTCTTAAAATTGTAATAATTATATATCAGAAATATCAGAGTATGTTAAGACCGGATCAACCTTTGCCGCCTAAAGTATATTTATAAGTTTTAAAAGACTGAAAACGTAGCAACAATAACCCTACCAAAATTCATTTGTTAACGTTATAATTGTCCCTTCTCCACTAGTGACACCCTTCATGAGTTACTTTTGGCAAGAAAGAACGTTGTTAGAGGCCAATCACAACGTTTACTTTCTAGTGTGTGTTTTACATTTTGTTGGAATATTTGTTTTTGATCTGTATTTATATCAATACGTGAAAAACAATCAAAACATTGACATATTCTTTTATAAAACGGCTTAAGTATACTAAATAGAATATGTATTTATGATAAATGTAAGTATTTCACTTACACTTTTTCACAATAAAGCTTGTATTAAACATCATTCCTTGCACATATTTCATAATGCACAAGAAAAACTTGACATTTTATAACTATAAAACAACAAAATTATATCACGTATAATAAAAAAATATCAAAACACTTCCATTACATCGTAGAATCCTTCCTTTCATAACGTGTATAAACACATATGCATGCTAATGTTAAGCATGTTAATCATTTGGGTTAGTATTGATATTTGTCTTATATATAAACCAGGATTGAAATTTGTACGCCAGACGCGTGTTTCGTCAACAAAAGACTCACCAGTGAAGCTCGAATCAAAAAAATAAAGGCGGAAATTACATAAGATCATTGAGGACCCAAAGTTCCTGAAAATGTTTTTAAGCAAAATGAGAGCTAAAAAATACATGCAGTCTACATTCATACATAGTCTTTCGATTATAACAATAGAAATTCCTAGCCCGTTTTCTTCTTCTCCTTCCTCTCCCTCTGTGTAGTCTTCGTTTTTAAGGAACAACAAGGACAAAGTAAAGTAACGTCAACTCTGAAATTCTTAAGTTTAAAAAGAAGAATACTCATTGGTTTGTTGTTGGGTTATATTTTTTTCTTATGGATATAATTACATTTAAAAAACTACACAATTAAAAAGGTAAAACACATCGATAAAGTATTTACATTTAACTAGATACACATAACCACTGTGTAGCATAACCACCAGACAAAGGTACCCCGGCAGCGGTGGAAAAAACAAATGTGAAGACAGGTACGGTCAAATTCTTCTTATTTTCATTAAATGCTGACAAGTAAAGGTTACTGATACTGATTCCTAATAGTGTAGCTACTATTTAAGGCTGATTATGATCCTTAATTTCTTTCTCTCTATTGAAATCGATAAAATCGGAGACGGGTACATATCTGTTCAACGAAGCATAACACACATTTATCCTTCACCTATTCGTTCGATGTTTTCGTACAACAAAGTAATATCATATTTAAGTTTAAACAACACTGTATTTTGAAATAATATTTTGTTTACCAAGATACATTCATGTATATGAAGCGGATACATCGTATGGCGAAGAGTTGTTTACTGTAAAGGGATTAAAATATATACTTTTTGCTATCATTGTGTCTTTGCTTCTGGAGTACCTATATCCGATGGTGATGCTGCACAGTGATAACATTAAACGTTCTCTACACTAATTATTCCTTTAAATAAAACGGTTAGGCATTGATATTTATATATATCCAGTGATTCATAAGGTCATATAAGTTATGTATGCAAAGCCTAGTGTACTATATGTTAACCCTTAAGAAGCGTACATTTATGTGACATTTGACAATATGAATGCATTATTTGTAAGCTCTACCTGGTTTTTATTCATCTTTCAAAAAAAAGAAGATGTAACAACATGCTATCAAATAAAGTAAAATTTTACCTATTATGATACATTTAATGATATTAAAAAAAATATAAGATTTGTTTTTAACTACGAAATTGATTATCCGTGTCTCGTACTTGTGTGATCATATTTGAATATGTTATGAATGTCATATCATGATTGTTCAATGTTTAATAGTTAAGGAGGTTGTTGCGCTAGTACTATATTTCAAATTGGTCGTTTTAATTTATTACAAAATATTTCTGAATGATTATAATTAAAATCATGTAATTGGTGATTTTGTTTTTCTTTAGACACAGTATTCGCCTTCCTGAATTAAAAACATGCATATACATGATGTAATTGATAACTCACATGTTCTAAAGGATACACAATTTTCTTTACTTCTCTCGATTTTTAAAAATAATAGATTAAAGTTCATTTTTTGTATTATAGTATTGTGTTCTTTCCTATACGATATATTGATAAACATGCTACACACATATATCTGCATAGCTGCATCTGTTGGTCGTAATATCGCTTTTCACTTACGCTGTTTGGGTCAAAATAGAGCTTTTTAAGAATTTTACATTTCCTACACGAATGAAAGAGAACTTTCTTACTCTGAATTCTTTTTAGGGAATAGTTTGATGGAAATGTCAGCTAATCAAAATAAATATAACAGCTAGGAGAAACGTAGGTTTTAACGGTTAGATGTTTAAATCACAAGATTATAGTTAGTTTTTGTAAAACAATTACACAATGCACACTTTTAGATGATAGTGAAGAAACTTTAAATGATGCTTTGTTAGAACAAAATTTGTTTGTTACAATTTCTGGTGTGAATACAGATATGTCCATTGGGTTGGAAATATAAGCAAAGTACAGAGACACTTTGTACAAGTCAAAATCTTACTTTGGGATGGACATCCTTTAAATTACTGGGTGCTAATTTTGATGTTGATTTATTAGAGAAATCAGTTAAAATAAATTATGATGAAAACCTTGTAATGATAAAACGTCTAACTAAACCATGGCTTAGACGCAACATAACTGTTAATGGTCGAATTACTGTTGTAAAGCCCCTTAGTTTGCCAATTTTAAATTCTTCAATATTGTCACTACCTTATCCAATTCAATATATTAGTAAACAGATAAATGAATTTATGTATCAGTTTATTTGGAACTCGCGAGTAAAAAGAGTGACAAAAAGATATACTACAAAAAGGTTATTGTAATGGAGGCCTAAAATTGATTAGTTTAAATCTTTTTTTTTCAAATAAATTCAAATATTCTTGGATCAGAAGTATTCTTTAAATGATTGTAAGTTAGGTAATATATTTCTGTCATGTGTTGATAAAGATTGATTCTTTTTAACTGTGTAATTAGTTATATAAGGCAACAACAGCAAAGTATAAAGAACAAATTTTGGAAAGATGTACCGAGTACTTGGCAAACGGTTATTGAGGAAGACATGAATTTACAAGACTGGGAATATTTTCTTTCCTGTCCAATTTGGATGAATAATCTTTTTCAAATTGACAACAAACCAGTGTTTTTTTTTCAAAGACTGGCAAAGTATTCTACATGTAAATGGTATTGTTGGGTACAGTGGTATTTTTCTAAATTGTTTCTTTCGGATAAATTAAGGCATCATGAAATATAACAGCATAATTTCTATGCTAAGTAAGACTTCCAACAAATTTGATAAGGGAGATTATAAATTAGTATCTCTCTCATTCCATTAGTTATGAAGTCCGTTCTAAAATGCAAAAGGGACCTAAAGATATGTATTGAAATCTTAACAAAAACAACAATGTTCCTACTTGAGTAAAAAGACGGGAGGCAACATTTGTTTTAGAAAATCAAAACTGGGAAAAGATTTTTCAATTACTATTTGTCATATCAAAAACACTTAGCTACAACGGTTTCAGTATGGAATAATGATTCTGGCAACAAATAAGTTTTTAAACAAAATAGGGTTAGTTCAGAAGCTATATTGTACTTTGTGTGAGACTGAGTTGAAATCAATTGAACATATACTTTTGGAATCTTATTATGTACAACCATTTAAATTTATTACACAAGTAATCTTTTTATTTGGAAATTTATCACGAATATACAAAGGTGGACCTCAAAACAATATGTTTCTCTGGATTAAGCAATAAAAATATGTACAAGAAATATTAAAGAAGAAAAACGTTAAACAGCATTGATTTAAAAACATAAAGCTTCATTATTATTATTCGGAGACAAAATAACGTTTAAAAACAAATGTTTTCAAGAGTTTAACCAAGCTTGTCACATTTACTAGCATGCTTTACCTGATAATTTGATGGAATATCAATAGAAACAAAACAGACAAGAAGCTTTTTTTTTTCAGACAAACCAATTTTTTTTCTGTTTATTTTTTCTGTTAGTGGTTGTTTATTTTACTTGATATATTTTTGTATTTATCTTACTCATCTATTCTAGTTTTTTTTGTCCTTTTTAATAAGTCAGCTTTTATAAAAAAAAAATAACCAAGTGTTAAATTCAATTTCAAACACTATACATTTACTAATGAGCTGTATTAAATTTTATTTATTTATATATATATATATATATATATATACATAAACAAGTCTAAATTGAAAACAACGTTCAAACCTATGATTGCGTTGGATAAAAACCGCACTTTTTATACGTGTGCATGCAAAACAAATTTCTTGTTAGAGAGGTCTAAATACAGCACAAACAACATTTTCCAAAAGACCACAAAAGTGAAAAAGTATATTTTAACAAAACGCAATTGACTAACAGGTCGAACAACAAATGTTCTTAAACCCTGCCGACTGCCAATACATACATATAAACTTGCTATTTCGATGTCTGTTTTGTTATACTATATATGTTGTATTAAAAAAAAAGAAATATGAGACTGACTACATACAGGAACTTCATAGGAAGAAAGACAAGTTAGCAGTGTCTTCACTTTCCGCTATATAGATGATGTTCTCTCACTAAATAATTCAACATTCGGTGATTTTTTTAGCGCATCTATCCCGTTGAATTTGAGATTACGGATATAACATATACAGTTAAGTCTATCTCATATCCTGACATTAAATTATTTACTTTTATTTATATAAAACTTATTCTGTTTCTTCTTGTTCTTTTAGATATTAGGATATTATAATGGGAGACAGAACGCTAAATTGTAATACTTCATCTGAATGGAAACCTGAATTTAAATATGACTTTGGTAAGCAAGACTTGTCATGATCCTTTTTTAATTGAATATCAGACACACTTTTCCTAGGTCGTAAAATTTCCAAAATAAAATTATCGCCGAATTTGGACTATTCGTAAGCAGCACAATCAGTGGTAGTAGTGAAACAGAACCAGCTTACCCTTCTGAATCAATGCGATTTACCTAAAGTTTTGATCAGATTCGTGTTGTCCGTCCTTTGTGTAATAAACAGTGCTTTTTTGGCTTGATTGTCTTGTCGTCGATTTTGTATTGTTATTATGTTAATGTCCGTTCTCCTTGCGACTACAGTTTTACACATGTACAACTCGACAAAAGCAGGTCTGAGTCCTCGTTGATGCATTTTACCCAGTAGAGTTCACTGAAGAGAAAAATTTCAAAAATTATGTTGAATAAACAGAATGACTTTATATTTGGTCTGCAGCTTCACAGTTGAAAATTGTAACGTGTCAGCACACGCACATTCCGAACTGTTACCAACTTCCTGTTCACAAATACTCACAATATGTTAAATCAGTTTACAATTTCTGTCACACATGTCTCAAGGACTACTAAATAAAAGAACGTTAAATATGGTAAGTAGCTCAACAGTAACGTAAAAACAACAACAAACATTTAACAATAGAAAAAAAAATTCAAATACTGAATTACTATTACAACTCGAAATCTACATAAAAGTCATAAAAAATACAGAACCATTTCAAATCTTTTGCAGATCCAATTTCCAGTGATGATGAAATTGTAACTGTTGACTTGGGTGGAACACCAATACAATGTTTAAAAAACGGAGACGCATTACAGCCTTTGGTTCAAATGGCCAGGGTGGTTCCAGATTACAGAAAACACATACCGAGTATCAGAAATATGGAAATGGATGATGATGATGTCATAATATGTGCATTTGCAAAATCAGGTATAGAACAACGGCATACAAAAAAAGACATTGTATTCATCTTCTTTTATTTATCGGTAAACAATTTAAAAAGATTGATTTGGATTTTGGTGCAGTTTACTTTGCTTACAAAGTTGGTCTTAAATATGTTGCACATCTGTTATTCAGAAAAACTAAACAATCAATGATATGGGTAGGTAACCAACAAAACAAGAACTAACACGATAAAGATGAAAAGTAATCAAAGCTCAAAATAACATTTCAAAGAAAGGAAAGGCACCGTTTGTAACTCTCTACACTTCCCCATTCCTTACAGTATATGGAATTTTTTTTTGTTTTTATTTTAAATGCCCAAAAAAGTGCTCCGAACGTAGCAGTTTGAAGGACAAAATCACTAAATATTTAAGGTAAAATACCACGATTCCTGACATGGGACAAGGTCATTAACATGTTCAGACGTAAAAGTAGTCTCATTATGTCATGTATGTATTAATTGTACGAAAACACCCTGTCAAGTTTGTATGATGGATTCGTTAAACTAACAGTGTCACGTCTTGTTTTGTACTTCGACATACGATGTGTTCGATGGCAACTGTTTAATTTAAATTATTGGCGCTTAATAAATGTATGTTGTACATTTTTTGTGGATTTTCCCTCGAGGTAACACTATTTATTTTGGTTGCTGTAATAAACACTAGATGAACAATCATAAAATAAAGTTAGTTTATTTTTTATTTCAATTAAAGCATATACAGGTAGTTGGAGCCTTCTGTCTAATTTCTCTTCTTCAATAAAAGGCCATTATAGATACACATGATAAACACGTGATTGTTCTGAGTGTTTAAAGAATAAAGTACAGGAAATACGAACTTGGGTTTGACCTTTGGTTGTGTAAACTTTTCGTCCGTTGTGGTTTTTTGTGTCTAGTCGAAAAAAAAGCAACCACAAACGTATGAATATTGGTTCCATAAAAAGAATTACTCCTCACACAACTGTTGGGTTTTTGTTACAGAAAAAGAATATGTTTTACCTTCGTTTTCGTTGCAACTATACCATTATACGTTTCAACTCTTTCGTGTTTCGGGATGTTTTACATTTTTTTCTCCTAAATGACACTCTTTAAATTCGATTGAAAAGAAATTTTGAACATAAAATAACAAAACGAAATAACAAGACCCTAAAATGTTGAGATTGTGGTTACACTATGAACCACATATTTTACTTATGTACAAGTCAAAACTGTATAAGAACAATATCCTGCCAAAACACATAGCACAGATAATTAAAAAAGTCATGTTTTCCTTAATATCATAAGTATACTTCACAATATTACATAAGAAGATGTAGTACGATTGTCAATGAGACAACTTTCTACAAGAGACCAAATTAGTAGAATAATTCAATATGCTGTGAAAAAATTAAGATATTCTGATTAAAAAAACACAATTTTCAAGGACACAACTCTTGTCAATAAGACTCGTATCAACATTTAATAGTACAAGATTGACGTTGAGGCAAGATGCATCACCATGCTGATATATAGATAATTTTTTTTAGCCCTAACCCACAATTGTTCGTAAAATTTTGTCATATACACAAACCTCCAAACAAACTAGCTACATATATGTATAGTTGTCTCAAAAGTTAATATTTTTTCTTAAATTTTACTAAGATTCAGTAATGATGCATGTCTCTAATTGTCGCATAGCATTTATGAATTAGTTAACATAAAAGCATTTCAAATATTATACATTTGATTCGGTGAACTTATTGTATCATAAATTCGTTTAGCATTGCTTCGTCTTCGGTTTTCATTTGTTTGGGAAACTTGACTGTTAATAATAAATCACACACCACCAGGTATATCGTTATTTTTTTTTTTTCGTTTTTTTTTTTTTTTTGTTGTTTTTTAATCGGTTGATGAGATTTGAATACGGCTGATGAAATATTAATATCAGTAAACTACCTTTGCCATTATTGACTAATATAAAAACGTGGTTTTTTTTTTGTATTTAACAGATTGTTCGTCATAACAGTTTTCTCAAGCAAATTGATGACAGGATGTTTATTTTTTTATTATCTATATTCAAAGTTTGAAAATCAGGAGGCTTGATATTTGAAAATTATATCTTTTTTCTAAATATTGGTAATCTAATCGTTTGATTTTTTAAATCGATATTCAATATTTGGAAATAACAATGTCTAGTATCTTATTTCCCCGATTAGCAATTTGATATTCATTTGTATTTTAATATTCAGTCGTTCATATCAGACCTATAGGTTCAGGTCAATTTTACATACTTGTAACCAAGGAAACATTCTTATTGATGAATAAAGCAGTATTCTGACTCATTCTCTCTCTGTTATTCAAAAAATGTTTGCTCAACTTCCAGCCCTTTAAGCGAGTATGCCATTTAGTTTCTGAATATAACTCAAATACTACACGACATTAACAATGGTTTCTCATGTTTGATATAATACCTGATTTTTTTTCATTTATAACAGTGTACAAAACCTTCAGGATTAAACAATTTGATTCAACTTTAGCAAACATTGCAATTGCTTATAGTGACAAAATACCAAATCATTAATATGCTTGACTAACCTAATTGTATGAATAATGTCCAGTATCAACATGAACAAACAACACATACATTTGTTTTCATCGGTAATTGACATTCTTAAATGGGTTACATTTATATTCAATGTTAACAGGAACACATTGGTTATGGGAAATAACTTCCATGCTAGGAAGCGGAAAAGCGGATTATCACGGAAAAGAGAAAAATTCAACCATGTTGGAATTAATTCCCGCAGAGGTGTTAAGATCTACGCCAAAACCCCGTATTTATAATACTCATTTTACACCTCAAGGATTACCAATGCATGTATTTGACAGAAAGTGCAAGATTCTGTTCCTTCAAAGGAATCCAAAAGATGTTTTAGTGTCGTATCTTCCGTATCTACAGGGTCATAAGCTCATAGATTCTGAGATTAAATGGGATGAATTTATCTGCAAATATATGGAATTAGGTAAGTTGATAGAATATAATATCTAATGGTTTGTGTCATACCGTTTTATCTGATATTTTTTTTTTTCTTATTTTTCAATTTACCTTGATTGGTCCAGTTTTCAAGTCATGTCATACAATGTTACACAATATTTAGATTTTAGAATTTTAATATAGATTGCTCTTCATATTACAATACAAAGAACAAAAGAAAACTATATTCTACAAAATATCCGTACAATAGCTGTGTCAAATGAAAACATCAAGAATGGAGTTTTTGATGATCAGTTTGATGAAATATTTTAGAAGCATAACACTGAAAAAGACTCAATTGGGATACATTGTACACGAAATATTTGTCATTGTATCTGACAAAACAAATGTCCATTATTAACACAAAACAGTGAGGCAAAGTTGGAATTGAAACATGAAAAAATCTATAACTCCAAATGTGTACAAATGCAACTAAATATTTATAATTTCATGGTTAATGATTTAGTCTTCTTCCTTATTTCAATTTTTACCTAAGGATATTTACTTGTTTTTCATTTTAAAATTTTAACGTATATTATTGTTTTACGTGTAATAGCTTCTGTTTGTTATTTACCAAATTTTAGAAGTTGAATCTTCGTTATTGAACTGGTTTTACTATACAATACAGTGGTTTGAGTTCTTGAAGGAAGGACATGGCAACATTTACTGCTTGGCATATGAAGACCTTAAAGACGTATCTTATTTCACCTTTATTTACTTATTTCTTTCTAAAGTTCAACATTGAACATAAAAGAATACTTGGAAATGGATATCACGATATTTTTTTTTTTTATTTTTCATTTCACGAATCATAGATATCACTTTATATTTAGTCTGAATTTTCTAAACATTATTTTGAGAATTCGTTATTACTATACTCTCTTCAAAAATATATGTATACTCTTAGAGATGACAAAACAGCAATGCAACAATGGCCTTAACTGTTGCTGTAGATTCCCTTGATTTAACGATGTTAGCTTAACGATAATTCAGATATGATTTCATTTAACATCTAGGCTAATAAGCAAAACAAGTGTTGCAAGTTTAAATACAATAAACGAACACGAAGTAGACATAACACATACATTTACAGATATAACACTAAGTTTTCTAAGAATTAGTAGTGAACCATAGATATCTCGTTAAATTTAGTCTGAATTGTTAAACATCACTTTGAGAATTCGTTATTCATTTGCTATCTTCAAAAATATATGTATACTCTTTGAGATGAAAAACACCAATGCAACAAAACATTGATCTTAACTGTTGTTGAAGATTCCTTTGAATTAACGATTTCAGCTTAACGATACTTCAGATATGATTTCATTTGACATCAAGGAGCTAATAAACAAAACAAGTGTTGCAAGTTCAAATACATTAAATGAACATGAAGTAGAATATAACGCATACATTTACAGATATAACACTAAGTTTTCTAAGAATAAGTAGTGAATTTTATTTTTTTTCTTCTTTTTCAATGTTTTTTAACCTGTCAACACATTTAAATTGTCAGCTGTCGGTAATACATGACACCTATCTGTTCTTTTCCACAGGATCCAGTGAGGGAAATAACAAAACTTGCAAAATTTCTAGAAGTTGGAGAAAACAGTGACCTGTTTAAAGATATAGCAGAAAAATGTAGTTTCCAAAACTTGAAACAAGCAGCGCTTTCAAAGATTGATACGTTTGCAATCAATAATAAAGAAGCAGCTAAGAAATTTACAAACTTCACATACAGAAAAGGTATAAATCTAATTTTATGTTAATTCATGTATGTATATCTTATATATCGCCTAATAATGTCCTATATTCAACTTCACATTTGTTTCAATCACGATTGATTGTTAGTTTGATTAACGTCTAGTGGCCAATATTTCATGCATGAATAGGACGATTTTCAATCGCGAAGTACGACAAAAGTTGCAAGTATTGAATAATAAAAAATACTAGTAAAATAAAAAAAAATAACAAAAATCTTAAATAAAGGTTCTTTAAAATTGGCCTACATGAATAAAATTAGGACTGCCACTTTGAAAAAAAGCATGTTGGACAGAGTTGAATTTCTGCCTTGCAACAGATCACCTACGAAACCTCAGAGAGTGAATGCAAGGATCATTTTACATTTAGGGAACAAGGCATTCCCCTTACACAACGTTTCGGATTTACCTTCCCAGCTTGACGGACCTGACAGTTGACAGTATTTTTTTTATACATCAAGCACAGCTAATCCGACGTTTACCACTTCATTGGTTTTACTTCAGGACATAAAGAATACTAAAGATGACACTTTCTATATCAAAGTCAACACCTATATGTCAACATATTCGTATTACTATTATAGGTGAACATGTTGTTTGTACATAAAACAACGCTTTAATTACTAGAGAGTAGTTATTAGAATAATTGGTTTTTGTGCTTCTCCTTCACTTATTTCAAAAATGATCAATTTTACAAGTACTGAACGTGTTCGCATGAGATATGACTGCATAATTTGTTTGAAACACATGATATTTCAAACCCAACTGCATGACTGTATCGATATTTTATATTTTCATACCTAATTTCAACAAATGCTTCTATTGTTCATGTTTGTTTATACTATCTTTTTTACTGTAATACCTATTCTTATGCAATTTGTATTGTTTTAAGCAGTAAGTGTATCAATACTCTTTGACAGGTGAGGTTGGAGACTGGAAAAACTATTTTACCGTTGCCGTCAATGAGAAATTTGATGCTCTGTATGCCAAAAAGATGAAAGGAATTGACTTTAAATATCGCTATTCTTTATAACTTGCCACTAATGAATGCAATTATTATAACAGACATATAACCATAAAATATTTTATGCGGAACTGATTAGATTCGTATATATCTTCTATTTTGTTGACTCTCGCTAGATGTACGTTGTTAGGTTGTAGTCTCATTGACGTATACGCAAAATCTCTTACTTATGTATTCAAGTTTATCAAACTATTAACATAGAAGAAGAAAAGAGGAAATTTAAGAGATGAAGCAGAAAATGATTATTGGAAAGGCAATGGTACACGAGAAGTACGATGTTAAGATGAGATATCTTATAGATACGAAAATAAAAATATAGTCACCTTACATCTTTTGGTTTTGCTTAGATCTTGATGATATAATTTACAATCTGTAGTGGAGAAAATAAATCACGAAAGCAAAATGAATTGAATTTAATATATTTCGATATACGGTAAGACTTTTTAATTCAGTACTAGATTTCAGATGATTCTTAGTTTGATGTAAAATAAAGGCTGACTAATTTTGGTGTTAATAATTCCTGTAGTTATTTCATGTTAGATATAAAAGAAAAAAAAGAAAGATACACTTTATCTCTTTTTTATCAAAATCTCCACCACAGGATATTTTTTTCTTCGAATGCTGTTCAGCCGTTTTATAAGTTGGTTGAAAATACTAATAAATTTATTTTGATCTGAAATGGTCACTTTGATCATAATAATACATTGTCGAGTCATTGTCAGTCTTTCAGTAAATTTTTAGACTTATCCTCTGTGGTAACTTCAGTACTGTTAAGAAAAATTGCTTGCAGTACGTTCAGTCTATGTTTAGACTATTCAGTGATCGTTATATTCCTGTGCACATACTTAATCTTCTGAAAAGGAACTAAACTGTACTGAATTGACTGCAACCGATTTGTCTGACTAGTACGGAATTTACCTCAGTGGTTAAATCTGAAAAATTACCAAAGACTGAAAAAGAGAGGCGAAAGATACCAGAGGGATATTCAAACTCATAAGTCGAAAATAAAATGACAACGCCATGTTTAAAAAAGACAAAGACTAACAGACAAACAATAGTACACAAAACACAACATAGAAAACTAAAGACTGAGCAACATGACTGAATAATTTATTGTTCTGAATTTTCATATTATGTTGAGATAAAAAAAAAATTATTCTTTCAATAATTCCTTGATTTACAGTTTCTACAAATGCAGGCAGTGTTTTCCTTTAACAGTCCCTCTTTTTCTGTAAATCATGTTCCAAGTCAGTAAAATAAGTCGCTCCCTTCATTTACAAATTTGTAAGTATATATTTTTGGATGCTCATGACGCTTTTGTTGAAAATTGAAGATCTGCTTTTTCCAATTTTGAATACAAAATAATTATTAGAGAATCTTTTTAGTTACATGTAAATAGTGAAATAGAAATGGAGCGAGCAAATATATTTCTTCATTTCTTAGCTATAAAACTTTTACTTTATTCATTATGTCTTATTCCCTGATTAGACTTTTTCCGGTTTTGTACTTATATAAGTAACACAGTGGTGGCACATGTGGAGCATGAGTTGCTTACCCTCCCTGGGCACCTGAGATCAACCCCGGTTTTGGTGAGGTTATTGATGCTTTTCTGTGTTAGGTTTTGTCTTTTTGTCTTTTGTCTTTTTTTCTTTTTTTTTTGCAATGTCCTTTTTGATATCTTTTTTACATAGAAAGTGACCCACTTTTCCGTTAATAGAGTTTTCTTTGTTGTTTGTCTTTGTTCATGTTGTATGTACGTATAAGTTTTCTCAGATTGGTAGTTTGAAGTGATCTTTTGTACTGTCCAGCATTTCAGGTAACTACCACTATTCTAGAAAGGAAGAAAGCCAACTTTTATGTCGTTTCTACGAAAGCAGGCAATTAATGATACAGAGCAGTGCTATGTTTACATGGGTATTTTGCCAGACCCACCCTACTAAACGTAATATTTTCCATTTAAATTTTGAAGGATAGGAAGAGGCACCTAAAAATAAAACTCCAAACTCCCATAATCCGGCAAAGTAAGTACTTCCCGATTAATCAAGTGTTACATAAATTCATAAAACAAACTCACTAAACCATTATCAAATTCTGGTATCTATGATGCGTTTACTTATCTGAGACAATTAGACAATTCTTAATAATTTCATTACATGTAAGTTTCGTAAGATTCCGGGCTTTATTCAACATGTACTTCGGTCAACGCTTATATGACCCAATAAGATGACAAAAAGGAGCACTTAATTTCAAGATATTTATTCATTCTATTTCACTGTATGAGACAATTAAAATTGAATGTGCATACCTAAAGATTGACAATCCTGGCTTTTATTACAATATGCATGTTTTGTCTTGAACTTAAGAACATACTCATAAAGAACAGCAATAAAAGTGCTGTTCCTTTGCTTTTTGTGTTTGTTTTTGTTTTTTTTTGGCTGTGCATGAAGTGATTTTATGTCATAAATGGGTACCCCATATCCTTTGTTCTTTTACTATAAATCCATATCAACTGAAAGCACAATAGACTAGATTACAGTACTATGCAATAAATTTCTGATTTAAAAACAGACATAGATGGTGTACAATAAAATCAACAATAGTTGATCGCTATACACCACTGTCTTGTAAAACCATTAATGTGTGGAATCATCGTAAAGTAAGCTATCATCTTACTCCGGGAATGAAACTTAAAACCGGAAGTTGATATGTTCCTTATAAAAATATGTGCATTCCGGTTGGACCGACCTTCAATTGATTTTTTATCTTACTTTGCCTTCTTTTCATGTCGTATCTCCTTCAAATAAATCACAACAAAAGAGCATGACATGAAGCCCAAAACATAGGAAAGTCAAATTTAAACGACATCCAGTATCTCAAAAGAAAATAAAAAATATAACACGAGTTAATTTTACATTATACATACTTCTAGAGACTGAGTAGTACGAGTCTCATTCTAAACCGGGGATAAAAATTAAATTTCATAATACAAACACAAGTCAATTTTACATTACACATACATCTAGAGACTGAGTAGTACGAGTCTCACTCTAAACCGGGGATATAAATTGAAATTTCATAATACAAACACAAGTCAATTTCACATTATACATACGTCGCGAAACTGAGTAATACGAGTCTCACTCTAAACCGGGGATAAAAAGTGATATTTCATATACAAACAAAAGTCAATTTTACATAAAACATACATCTAGAGACTGAGTTATACGAGTCTCACTCTAAACCGGGGATAAAAATTGAAATTTCATAATACAAACAAAAGTCAATTTACATTATACATACATCTACATGTAGAGACTGAGTAATACGAGTCTCACTCTAACAACTATAATAACGAAAACACGCAACGAACGGACAGAAAATATCATCGAACGTTACACAACGCACACCGTTCGTGACATCCGTTCTTTGCTCATGTTTGAATACAATCATAAATCATAATATAAGTAATAATGCTTCATGATACATCTAACAGGTTATTGATTCCTGTTTCATAAGATATTAATTTTCATGCTGATACTAGGACAAACGGGAGACATCTTTCCTTTTCTTTCCTTTTAATTAATTTGTTTTTCTTGAAGGTGATGCTCTGGTTCTTAATATGTGGTGTATATCATGTATTTCACAATTAGTTTGATAGCATTTTGGTAAAAGTGTCTTGGATTTGAATGATATTTATTTTGGCAGTACTAATACAATTTAAGAATATATCTCCATTATGCAAAGCTCAAACTCATTGTCCGGGTTTGGCAACCCTTAAGGTCCTTTTTGGTTTCATCAGCTCTTCAACGTTTGTATCAGGTTTTGGGTTTTCAAATATTTTAGCTTTGAAAATCGCTGAGAAGACACCCATTGACGAAATGTGCATTTGGTGCAGTAAAATTGGTTTCGTTAATGTTAATACTAGAAAACAAGGGATACCAATTTTGTAAATAATACTAAACTCTCAATAAATCCTATAAGAAAGAATGATATATTTTGAATGCATAATTCTTCTGGTCTACATTTTGATAAAAGTGAAATCATTTTTGATAAAAGGTTTCAAATTGTAATATGCACTATGCCATTTGGTTAAGATCAAAACATGAATTGACCGTTATTAACAAAGCTACAAAAGCATCATATTATTCAAAAGCTATGACTGACCTTTTATTAATGATGATTCATCATACGAAATACTTTTCTATTATCTATATTAATTGAATATGCGCTACCTCTGAGGACACTCTTTAGTGCTATATTTTTCTTCATTTCAAATAGCACACAAGCAGTGACCAGACAGGTAAAATGTAATAAAAACAATAAGCTGGTGTTTGCATCTTTTAATTTTTCAGATGAACTGTCATTTTACTGTCTCGGTATTATTTTGTAATGTTGTTCTCTTCTTGCTATGAATGTTAAATTTAAAAAACTTGCGAAATATTTATCCTTCTCAGCAATGCTTGAAATCTGAAGGTCAAATCTTCTCAATAATTCTTATTTATCCTGATATTTTGTTTAACCAATGTCATATGAAAGCTATATTCTTATTGACTGAATTTCCTAGTTAACTTCCTACTTCAGATATGATTATGGAGATGTAACAGCTAATGAGACAATTATCCTCCAGATCGAAATCAACTATTTATCACCATACTGCCTTCAACAATCTGCAAAACCTACACCGTATAGTAAGCTTTCAAGGACCTCGACATTACAAAGTGTTCAACAACGGGAAAACTAACATCCGGATTTATGCTCAAACAACAAACGATTTAAAGATATGACAGACAGCAAATAACGACAAGCATTATAGAATCGATCCTCATTTGGAACAGAATATTAAAGAAGGTGGCAGAGTTTGGCATGTTTTTATCGTTCATTTCCATATCAATTATGTAAATATATACATGATATATGCGATATTTGAATCATATTTACCGCTTACAATCAATAAGTCTCAATATGTAGACTGACAATAGCATCATAAGGACAAAAGAAGCAAATAATGGGGACGGCGTTAAGAGAAATAGCCTTAATTTTTGTGGATTTTCTTTTCCATCTATCACTTAAGTTCAAATGATTTGGACAGTCAAAGTTACTGACTCTTTTACCTTTAAAGATAATGGTCACAGCAGTGACGTATTTATTTTAGAAAGAAATAATGTGTAAAAGGAATTTCGGACATCGCTATCTCATGGAGCTAAATTGGTTATAACGTCAAACATTTACCTATGTAGAGGGCTATTTATTCAGAATCAGCTTATCAATTATGAAATGCATAATTATAAAATCAGAAATACCACCCAATTACGAATACCACACCTTAATAGACTTATTCATAACAGTTATTATATGGTATGGGTTTTCCCACTGTTGAAGGCCGTACGTTGCCTATAATTGCTTACATCCACTTCATTTAAAGTATATTATATATATATTATTTATCAAAGAATAAGCCTTGATCAAAAGATAATATTGGTTGCGTTAATGTGTAATCGGAATTGTGGTTGATTGTCGATGATACAAATATTAAACAGAATCCTAAAGAACATGATGAAGCGGTATGTATAAGTCAGCGTACGACATTCATAAATAAGCAACCCTTTTATCTCATCAGCTAGGTCCTATCCAATTTACTGTTTGTATCCGCTATATAGGTCAATATCGTTTACAGCATTCGAATACATTCTTGATAAAATAGTTTCCTTCTTCTGCATATTTCATACTGTTTAGGAACAGTTTTTTTCTTGAATAATTTGATTATTAATTCTAGCCTTTTCATATACTTTCATCTATACGTATCCCAAAAGAACAGACCGATGGTTTACAAACATTTTTGCTGACATTTAATTTTGAAAATACATTGATTTTTATAATGTTATGTAAGATGTAAAATATAAGGTCGAAAAGTATCACAGTTTCATTAGATTTCGGTTACTAACTTGGCATGTAAAACGCTATCCATGATTCTATGAGCTGTAAAAAGTGACTGATATTATAGTCGAACTTGAAATACTATAATTTTGTTGTGTTTTCGTAGGGAGCGTAATCGGTTTTGGAAGTTAGAATTTAGCTCAATCTGAAGTGACGTAGCACTTTGTAACTTAGTTCAGCCTTGTACAGTCCTCAAGCAAATTGGTCGCAATTTAATGGTTATCTAGTTCAAAACATCATTCAACTGTTTCAGGAGTATGAATGTTCTTCTATTGTAAGAAGTGTTATGTTTAAGCATTTGTTCTAGTAAAGTTTAGTATAAATACATAAATTTATCTGTATGATGTAGTAGTTTTAAATAATTGAGCATATTACGAGCTCATGTTGCGTTGAAATTCTTATTGCTTATATATTTCATGATTTTGGTCGATACAATTATTATTTGTAATTTTATGTGTTCCTTTGCTGTTAATGTTTACATAATATACCTTTGATATTGTTGGTAAATAAATGCGTTAGTGTATATGCTTTTTTTTACTTTTTGACGATTTTGTTTGTTCGTATTTCTATTCATAAAAGAAAATATGTTAAGTACATTTTATGAGAACATGTATTTGTCGGAATTAAGTTTTCGTTAAACACATCTGGAGGTTTTTATGAATATAACATAGAATGTCTTTTGTTTTACTTTGATGTTCGTCTGTTTGTTGTGTTGTTTATTTGTTTTTGTTTTGACATGAAATCTGCTTTTTTAAAGAAAATCATTGTTCTTTTTGGAAATATTTGTATTATTATAAAAAATGAAAACAATGTGTAAACCTCAGGTCTTTTACAACTGTATGTGATTGACGATGGTGCATAGATTAAATTTAGAACAAAACAGCTATCAAATGTATTAAACATTCCATCTATGCATAAAATGAGAATGGGGTAAACGTCAATGAAGGTAAGTCAACGTCAAAAATAACCATTCAACATCTAGAAGGTAATTACACATAGATATGAACAAACGTTCATAAGATATGCAACAGAGAGGCGAAAAAAACAAATCGACATTCAAGGTAAAGCTCTTTATCATCAAAAAGTTGTGAATAGAATAAACAGAGAAAAGCAAAGATCTTCCATATGACGACTTATTTCATACATGGTAAACATAGGTATGCATATGACAAATACCAAATTTGTACATATTTTCTTGTGGACCGAGGAAATCACAAACTTAGTAGTCAGTGCTTTGTTACTGGAATGATTTATAACAAAATTATCTTGAATTATTTTGTTACAAATTAAGAAACTAAATATGTTTGGTCTTATACATCCTTGGATTTCAAATGTTTGGAATTGAGTGTTCCTAATGATGGTAGATTTTCAAAAAGGCGCTGAGAAGGTATGAACTTTTTCAGTAGGTTTATTCATTTCATTTCGAAAATGTAAGTTACATTGTCAAAACATATTTACTCAAATGTTTCGTGTTAGTTTGCTTTTATCATTAATAGTATTGCTTAAATTACACTGCCATGGATACAACATCGTTGTTCTAATATTGTATCATGGGTTTTTTTAACATAAACTTAAACACTCACTATTAAGCAACTAAAGGCTACACGATTGTAACAAATTTCATTGTTTGCAGGTTACTGTTATACATATTCCTTTTATTGAAAGTCAATACTAACAACATTCATGCAATGAACATATTCATTAATATTTGATTAAATTTGAAAAAAAAAGTTACTATTAAAGCAGAATAAATACAATTTTTAGAATGTAAAAGTATGAGAAACAACGATATTTTTTACATTTTTAGAACATAGTCAACACAGTAAAACAATTGTTCTTTATGAATCGTTAAACAAAGCATAATCTAACTTGAAATCCACTATTACTAATTTATTAATGACATGATAAGGTATTATCAGCAAAACACATGTATCTGTCCTTTTTAACTTTATACTTAAGAACACCTAGTATAACAAGCAGTGGATGTTGTCATACTTTGTTTGCGGGTCTTGATATTTCCAACCAATATTGCTGAGATCTTTCTCAAAGAATGCAACACGATATAAATTATTTGGACTATACCTTAGTTGTGATTGTACTGCGGATAAATTTTCGACAAAGAGGACATTTCCGAAGTTTTGGAGAGCACAATTTACAGGTAACTAAATGTCCACACGGTAGAAAGGTTACACCGACTTTCTCATCCAAACATATTTTGCACGTGTATAAATCTTTCAGTTCTTCATTCTCTTTTTGAAGTGTGTCCGGGTCATCATCAGCTTTAAGACAAGAGTATGCAGAAATAAACAAATGTTATGTTTTAATTTTAAGTTACATATGAGATTTTCAGATTTTTTTACTCATATCTTTTTTTACTTCATACCTACGTGTATTTGACATACGTATATTTCATTTCGTTTAGTTGTGATTTGATGCCTAACGGGAGATAATCCAATTTGAATCATGTTCCATTGGCCATACAAATGCATTATACGTATGCATAAAGTTTGGTACGTTATTAAATCTGTCATTGAACAATTATCCTTTTGTTAAAATGGGTATGTTATAGCCTTGTTTAACAATTGTCAAATTAGGGTGTTTTATAGCTTGCCTTGTGATATGGGTTTTGCTCATTGTTGACGGCAGGTTTGTGACCTGTTTTGCTAAATTCAAAGTCATCCTGATCACTCATAGATAGTTGTCTCATTGGCAATCATACTATATCTTCTTTTTTTATATTATTTCAAATTTACAATAACTCTGAATTTCAATTAAAATGTCTGTTAAATCGTTGATAGATTCTAAACACACCTTTACTCTTTCTCTCAATATCCATGTCTATCGGTTTTAAATCTTTAGTTGGTAATGTGATCTCTGGTTTATCTAGTAAACCATTTTGATTGTTTTCAATGACACCATTCCAGGAATTATTCAATTTGTCAGTAGCAGTATCTGGACCGCTACTGCTTCCAGAAGAAGTGGTTTCATTTTTTTCAAGAATGGAAGTAACCAAAAGGTCCCTCGTAATCGAATGCCAATCTGAAATAATGTATTGATAAGTAAATTATGCAGTTACCTATAACATATATCAGTCGTCAATCTAAGAAAAATAAGCACATTTATTTTGACTGTTATATTTTTTTTATGACCAATCGTGGAATTACATTAAAATTAATGTTGTCTTATTGATTTTCTAATTGTATTTAACGTAACAGTGATGTGAACAGCGAATTTATCAAATACCTTGAAAATGTTGACTTGAATAAGTTGATTCAGTTTATCTATATTTATTCCAGGAAATATGCTTAATCTAAATTTCCCAATCGTTTTCATCAAATAAAGGCAACAGTAGTATACCGCTGTTCGAAATTCATAAACCTATTGAGGAAAAACAAATCCGGGTTACAAACTAAAACTGAGGGAAACACATCATATATAAGAGGAGAATTACGACACAACAGAAACACAACATTAAAATGTAACACAATCAGAAACGAACTTTAATATATCAACGACTTGGTACAGGACGTTTTAAGAAAAAAATGGTGGGTTGAACCTGGTTTTGTGGCTAGCCAAACCTTCTGCTTTTATGGCAATGTTAAATATAACATTAAAATGACAACATTACATGACAGGACTACAATAAAAATAAATGGGAAAACATATAGGACAGAGAAACATACGAATAATAGCTAACAAAAGGTACCAGGTTTAAAATTTAAGACGCGCGTTTCGTCCACACAAGACTAACCAGTGACGCTCAGATCAAAAAAGTTCGAAAGCCAAAACAAGTACAAAGCTGAAGAGCATTGAGGACCAAAAGTTCCAAAAAGTTGTGCCAAATACGGCTAAGGTTATATGTCTGGGATAAGAAAATCCTTAGTATTTAGAATAATTCATACTATTGCAAACAGTAAATTTATACAAATGACTATATAATAGATATACATGATAACACCGAAGTGGTGACTAACTACAGTATAAAAACGGATACATAAAACAACAGAAACCAGCACATAAAAATTCACAGCCGAGTTAGCCAAAGAGATCAACGCAAAAAAAAAGATGACGTCACATTTGAATTTCTGAAATTTCCCCAAAAATAGGATAGAATTAGGATAGAATTCAAGATTTGGTTTAAAATACTCATATAACATTTATTAATAACAATGAAAATTACAATAATAATTAATATGAAATGTGGTAGTAACTAGATAATTAATAGTATTATCTAGCTATGTCGTTGTTTCTTCTAAATCAAACTGTAAACTAAATATATCGTATAAATTAAGTTGACCCAAACTAAAATCTAATTAATGAGCTGGGTTATTAATTATCTTTACCATAACACACGAATACAAAAAAAAAATAAGATTTACAACTACATACGATAAGACATTTGACAAAATCCGATGAGAATAACAAATATAACATCAAAACTAAATACATGAATTTTGTATAGAAAAGTACCGTGATACGGCTTATAGCAATGCGAATTCACAGTCAGCAAAACAGTCACAATCGGGAATAAGTCACGTTCGGTAATTGAAAGATCAGACGACGTAATGTCAAACCACAATAAAAGACGTGGTAAAAATATCCTTAGTTAGTTTTGACAAAGACACATCGTATGGATCGACCAATTCGTGATGGTGTCCGTAAAATTTACGGAGTGTCATTTTTAATCTGTCCTCCTCATAACTTTGTTGGAGAAGTTTCTGCGTTAGAAGCACACTCCTGTATATGAAGTCCGTATAGTGTGAACATGCACGAGCATAACGTATCAACTGAGATATGTAAACACCATAGGAAGGGGCAGAGGGTATGTTACTGCTGAGAAATGGGAAATTGATAATTGGGAAGTTGAAATCGTCCCGTTTATCATAGATTTTCGTGTGAAGCTGTCCATTTGTATTGAGGAAAAGATCAAGATATGAAGCAGTCCTTCTAGTATCAGAAGTATCCTTAATTTCAATTTCATGGGACATATTAGATGTAAGTATTGACTGAAATATGGGTTATTCAATGATAGGATATCATCTATATATCGGAAAGTAAAATTAAAGAATCTCGCAAGGTGCTTTTTCTGTTTGTCTTTTAGAAGGTTCTGAATGAATTCTGCTTCATACGAGTACAAAAACAAATCGGCCAGTAGGGGAGCACAGTTAGTACCCATTGGAATACCGACTGTCTGTTGAAATATAAATCCTCCAAACTCAACAAATATATTGTCGATCAAAAAGTCCAGCATTTTGATAATATCATCCTCAGTATATTTTCTGGTAGATTCAGTATGGTTCTTCATAAAATATGAATTATTGTAACCCAAAACAAGAAATTTGTATCTACGATTTCCATTTTTATAGAAAAAGCTCTGTTTAATGAGATGGTGAAGTTGATCTTTCAACTGAGCATGGGGAATAGTAGTGTAAAGCGTAGAAAAATCAAAAGTCTTTATGTTGCTGCAAAATTGCAAAGATTGTGATCGAAGATTAAGCAGTAGATCTTTCGAATTTTTGAGAATCCACATCTGGTTAACACCACTGGTAGAATAAATATCAGCACAATACTTTTGAAGCCCATCTTTAACTGTAGAAAGACTAGTAGTCAGTACTCTAGAAAGATGTTTAGTCGAACATTTTGATGACCCAGCTATGTATCGTTCTTTATATGGAGTTTTGTGAAGTTTTGGTATCCAGTATAATGATGGTAAATTTTCTTCGTTTTCTTTGATGTTGATACCAAAAGAAAGAAGGACAGATTTGTGATTTTGTAAAATTTCGTCCTTGGTAAATGATGTTAAAGAATATGTAGGATTACCGGTAGTTCTATTTATTCTAAGCTCTGTTGTGAGACATTGCAAATAATGGTTTTTACATATGAAGACAATATTATTGGAGGCTTTATCTGCTGGAACAACGACATATTTGTCATGCAAAGAGGATAAAGCATCCACAACATCCGGATTCTTGAAAGGGTTAGTAACTCTTGTGCTCATAGTACATCGTAGTTTTTGAATGCGCTTCTGAATGCATGGTCGAATAGCTTTGATCCATTCAGACAAAGTGTCCAGTTCTGGTTCGTCTGGTTCGCGCTTTACCCATTGTCTTGCATAGTCCTCAACGGCATCCATCAGTAACCTGAAGTTCTTTTTCCAGTTGATGGGCTGGGGAATTCTATATTTTGATCCCTTCGCTAACAACTCTCTTAGTTGTTCATTGGTAAAGATGCCAAGGTCGCCAGTAATAACATGAACAGCTGGACTATAATTGTATTGCGACGATGCACATGAGCAATCCGGAGGCTTGGATTTCACATCTTTGAGGTTAAAGGCCTCTAAAACCCTCTTGTGGTTGAAAATCTTGGATGCAATAGACTTGGTGTAAGTATAAGAAATAACAGGTGTAGCTTTATTTTTGAAGTAATCAGGTATAGTTTTTTGTACAGATTTCTGGTGGAAATCATTGCTAATATTTACAGCATCTAAACCTTTATTGGCGAATTCTACCTTAAAAAAATAACGTTTTTCCTCATTTTTGAATGTAGTCGATACGGGGTTAAATAGTCTATGGTTACTAATGTCCATGATTATTGCAACTAATCTATACAAAACAGAACGAGAATCAGTAACGGAAGTATTTTGGGCCTCTTGAAATAATAAAAAAAAGTTTTGACAATGGAATGGAGTATAATTTAGTTCTGATATGATGAATTCCTAAAGGTTTTTGAACAAACGTTAACAGATTATCAATTGTCACGGTGTGCACAGCAGGTGGTATATATTTTCTGTGACCATGCCTTCTATTTCGTCGAGCAGAAGTATTAAATTTTCGACTTAAAATGCGTTCGGATGAAAAGACAAGTCGATAATAACTTATGTGTGATTGTGAGTTCTTGTTCATTAATAATTTTCTGGCACGTATTACAAACAATCAGATTTCTTTCTTTCAATCTTTATGAATTACAGATCATTTGATAACGCATCGCTTACAATTATCTGGCAATGTTTCGTTCTACTATCTGATTTAAAGATCTCTGGCTTTGAAGTGATGATATACAACTCGAAAAATTTGAAGGCTAACATTTCCGTGACTGATGCTATAATTACCTGAACAGAAAACAGATTGGAGTGTTGTCCGATCGTTAGAAAGTGGTCAACTACATTGAGTATAGCCAAATTCGATAATGATCCACAAAACGATCGATAACCGCGGTTAACTGCGGATTGTTCGTCGTTATACATATCAAGACGACACATGGCAATAACTCATACATGTATTTCATTGAAGTATTCAGGCATCTCGGGAGGTTAAATTTACCAATAAAATATAATTTGATGATATGTATGTACTCTGAGCATTGATTCATGAGAAAGATGAAAAATGAAAGTAAGATTGCAAATTTGTTCACAATTTTACAATGGGTCGTATAACTTAAAACCGAGAGACTGGCTGTTGCAGAAAATAACCCCACTCGAGGCCATTCTAGCCGGACAAGGCGGCCAGCTGAGGAGGGAGGCAGAAATAAATGCCTTAATCAAGACGATCTCCATCATCGTGTAACGTACCGACGGCGATAGTAAAAGACAGCAGCGACTTGAAACAGCAAACGGTCATAGGCTGACGATCCGTCGATTTGCTGCATCAAGCCTCCAAATTTGTAATTTTTGTTTACCTTCGATAGTAAAATCTGTTAGAGAGGAAAAAGATAACAACAGGATATTCAAACTTATTAGTCGCTGACAAAAAAACAACACAACTTAGAATTTGTCTAAAGACACGAATGCCCCCGCACAAGCTTTGCAATTTTCCAAGTTAAAAAGGACATAACTCTAGAACAGTGTATAACTCACGACCTTAATGCGACTTCTGTATGTGTGTTGTGGTTCTTAGCATTGTGTATGAGCTTCATAAAATGTGGATGATACAAACTTAATTTAGAGAGCGGAAACGAAAAAAAATGCAATCTTCCAGGTTAAAAAGGGGCATTAAAGGGGGTACCTCCAGAACGGTAAACGCCTCAGTGTCCAAATTCGAACACTGTCTACAACTGATGATTCTTAGCATAGTGTATGAATTTCAAATAAACAATTCCAATTTTTAAAGTTATAAAGGGACATAACTCTAGAACCGTAAGTTACTCACTGCCCAAATGCTTACTACATGTTTGTCTGTCAGTTTTGGTTCATAGCATTCTGTATGAGTTTGATTAAATTTGAATTAAAAAGACATAAGTTACTGTGCGGAAACGGAAAAAATGCAATTTGCCAAGTTAGAAAGGGCATGACTCTAGAACGGTAAGCGCCTTACTGCCAAAATTTAAACACTGTATGCCAGTTGTGGTTCTAAGCATAGTGTGTGAGTTTCAAAATATTTGCATGAGGCAAACGTAAATTAGAGTGTGGAAACCAAAATGGGATGGACGGACGGAAGGACGGACGGATGGTCAAACTTAATGCCCCCGTTGCCTAGGGGCATAAAAATAAAGACTGAGCAACACAAACACCACCAAAAACCAAGCTCCAGAAAGGTAAGCAGATCCTGAACCAACTATGACATGCGTCGCTATAAAGATCACCTCTATTAAGCAAAACCCTGTCTGGTCATGTCACCCTTGTCTTGTACCGCTCGTTGTGATACCTATGCATTTTGAATCCCAATTAAAAGGTCACCTCTTTTGTCAGGTAATTTTTTTTTTTTTTTTGGTCCAGGGGAAGCCCTTAATGTACAGGTTTTACTGTACGGACTTATTCAAGTAACATAGAATGAAAGCAATGGTATATAATCCAATTGATTTATCGGGAGAATAGCAGTGTATTATACAGTGTTTATTAATACTCAAAACACATGCATCGGACGTTCACTCGCATTTAAAATGTTCCGGGAGTTAAACTCATTTAGAATAAATTCAAAATGAAATATTAAGGAATTAGAACTGTCAAATCCATCAAAAGGTCAAGTTGTATTTTCCAAAGTCAAGGTGGGTTTCGTGTTGTTTTATCCAGCTGAATGTTTGGTGTGGTGTAGCATTTTGTTGTTTTTGCTGTTGTTTGTATTTTTTCTATTTGTCGTCTTATTGTCCACGGTATTGTCTGTTTTGATTGGACTTATTATTTTTTATTGCCCCTTGATATATTGTCTCTCTTTTTTTGCTGAAGGGATTTCAACCTTAATTGTGATATAGTTTCAAAATTAACCGAAAGATACAGGTTGTGACTATTTTCATAACTCGCTTTCGTGCTTCCTAGGAACACTTGATGATGCAAATATAAAAGTACATGTCACAGAATACGTAAAAAAACCGGCCACTGTTATTATTGATAGCAAGATATGCGTTATTTCAGTTTGTTTTGCACTCTCTGTTTTTATTTTATACTAAACATAAAGTGAAGCTTATGAAATTCACGTTTATTGAACTTATGAAAGTTTTACGTAAGACATCTCAAACGTATAAATCAAATCATAATATAGCTTTCCAAAGTTGATCGTTAACGCTAAAAAGCATCAGAAATCGAAATTGACCATAATAATCAACATACTATTGTTTATAAAACATGTTTAAAACTGAATTGTATCGTTTTCCAAAACAAATAGGTAAAACTTTGCATATTGCAGTAACCTTACTATGTGTTTTTAGTAGTGTGGTCATGCACTCCTGAACCAGTTCTTTGTTATCGAATATTCTTTCACACAAAACATATATGGCAGCTTTGTGCTCAAGTGGGTTTCTTCTGATGGTTGTAAGTTCTACAATTAATACATCTTATAAATATATAAGACATTTTTGCTAACACTACCTATTTAAATTGAATTAGGATCATTTTTGTGAAACGTTGGTACAATCAATAATAAAACTATCACAATTATTATGATGTTATTTTTCTCATTGTTGCTGTTGGTGTTTGTTTTTATTTATTTTTTTTTTGTTTAATGCCCAAGAGAAGGTGCAATGCTAAATTATTTTTAAGTTATCAATTAATTCATTATATTATTTATTGTCAATATGCATAGTAAATGACCATTGAAATATATATACATATCTAATTCTTTCTGGGTCCATTGTTTCAAAAACGTTATCAATGTGTGGTTGTCGTTGGTCTCAGAAGATGAATTTGCTAAGTTAAAAGGTCATAACCTTTATCAATTCTGTTAATGAATCTAAATGACAGGTGTAACAGATGTTTACAACTTCTTAAAAGTTTTTACTGCGCGGAATTAGTTTGACCTTCAAAAATTGTTATTCAAGTTGTTTATTATTACATATGAATATATATTTTATTAAATGCAATGTTCTTGAGTTAAAGTGGGTTTTTATTGATGTTTACGTCCATTTGATCCAGAGATGTTTCAAGATGTTCAATTTACTATTGTAAGAATCTGTATTTATTTTTTTGCATGAAACCTGTGTCATTTTCGTAGGAATTGATAAATTACAATAAAGAGCATAATGCACATTTAGACACGAGCTAACAGTTATTTGATGCAAATTAAATTTTGAACGGCGTTATAGAAACATTCAAAGATATGTTAAATTACCATCTAGGTTAAGTTGAGGTGCCAAACTTTGTGCAATTTCTTCATCCTAAAACAGAACAATTGTATATGGTAAACACTGTAAATGTCTTATACAACTTATATTCTTATTCAAGTATAATACAAACCTGCTTTTCCCTGTAATAGAACTAATGTAAATATTACAAGATAAGTCTGCAAACATGTTAAACTCCGTCACATTCTTTGTGTGCTTGTCTAGAGTAAGGAGCCTGTGTTTCAGTGGTTGTCGTTGGTTTATGTCTATCATATTTGGGGTGGGGTTTTTTTCGGAAATTGTTTTATTATACATTAGACCGTTAGTTTTTTCAATTGAATTGTTTTTATATTATTTTATATCGGGGCATTTTATCGCCGACTCGACAGTGTGGGTTATTTCTCATTATGAAGACCGTATGGTTGCCTTTAGTTACTTACAACCACTTAATTTGAATTTGTATAGTTGTCTCGTTAGAAACAATACCACATCACCTTATCTGTATATCAAGTGTTGGTTTGAATACAAGAATATGTATTGAAAGAGGGGGAAATTGGGGTCAATAAAAAGTATATCGGACGTCATAAACAATATAATAACTTTGATATCCATTTACTTCTTATAAGTCGCCAAATTATATAGTCAGCCTACAACTTTTTGGTACCAATGAAATATTGCACACTGCTTTTTTGGTAATCGGTAACCTTTTGTAATTCAATTTATGAGAGATCTGATATCTTTTTTTCAGCAAAAAGATAAGTAGCTTTAGACAGGATCAAGTGTGCATTATCCAAAGGGCAATGGCATCTTACCGTTTCTAATCTCAACAATTGTACGACGCTGTCAATGAATCCTTGTCCTTTCCTTCTTATTAAATACTGACATTTGCGGGACCACCGTGCATGTTCTACCCATGGATTGTCATTTTCTTCCCAGTTTCTCAAACCTTCAAAAAGTATTTTAGCATTGTATGATAAAACACACCAGCATTGTACAAACAAAACTTGGTTGTTTTTATCTGTGACTTAACGTTCTAGTACTCTAAATATTTCAAGAATAGTTATCCGTCATATTCAACAGACGAATCACTTAAGAGAAAAAGTTATCAATTACGATGCTTTACATATCAAACTACGCGTAGATTTTGAAAAATAACATCCATATACTAGGTAATACTTTTCATTCTTGTATTCAAATTTTTATTTTTTTTTTGGTTTAATATGATGAAGCTTAAGTAATCAGGAAATTGGTTTTTTAATAAACAAATTTACGCGCTTTTGCATATTGTTACATGATCATATTGTATTTTACGATGTTCTGTATCTTTGTCCAATACTGAAGCTCTTCTGCAATTACATGATAACATTTGTTCTTATACGCTATTTGTTAGCCTCGTCTGTATATGTCAACATATTCATGATTTATCTAAACATCCCTAAGAAAGAGCAAAATCTGAAAAGAAGAAATTACCCATTTGTTTTCTTAGTAAAATTACTGACAATGAAAGATTCTTGCGAGTTTGATATTTATCAGTAGCTAAAGGAGTTCAATGCAAGAGTAAATCAGTGTGAGTGAAAACCTCAATATCTACTTCCATGAACAGTCTATTGTAAATATCTTGATCAAAGTATAAATGATAAACGATGGTCATTGAAAACTGAGACAAAACACTTTTCAAACGGCAATCTATTTCACAAGAAAAACAGTAAAATGAGAGGAAAAGTTGGGTTTTTCCCTTCGCATATATTAACGTTAAGGTGTTATTTTCTTGGTTTTGTTGCATACTCTGTACCAACAAGTTTTAATTGATGTGGTATGATTGCCAATGAGACAACTCTTCACAAGAGACCTAATGAAACAGAAATTAACAAATATAGGTCACCGTACGGCCTTCAACAATGAGCAAAGCCCATACCGCATAGTCAGCTATTAAAGGCCCTGAAATGACAAATGTAACACAATTCAAACGAGAAAACTAACGGCCTAATTTATGTACAAAATAATGAACGGAAAACAAATATGTAATAGAGCAACCAACGACAACCATTGAATTACAGGCTCCTGACTTGGGACAGGCACATACAGAATGTGGCAGGGATAAACATGTTACTGGAAACCCAACCCTCCCCTAATCCTGGGACAGTGGTGCAACATAACAATACAAGAACTGTACAAAACAATAAATACAACACATAGGATCAACAGCAACAAACAACAATCACTCGATTACAGACTCCTGACTTGGGACAGGCACATATAGAATGTGGCGGGGTTAAACATGTTAGCAGGTGCTCAACCCTCCCCTAACCTGGGACAGTGGTGATACAGTACAACATAAGAACAAACTATAAAAATCGGTGGAAAAGGGCTTAACTCCTCAGATGGATACAAATAGAAATGCATCTAACAAAAACACAGAGTGGACGTGTAAGTATATATGATTTAAAACGGTCATGAATGTAATGTGTATAATTATGATGTAAACAGTCGATGTAAAACAGTTTAAAATTGGCACTTTTGATGAAATGTTTTATAAATCGAGCAGGCAATTTCTCATACTAAATAAAGTTGTCAAGGGTTTCAATCAAGGATCCATCCGCAGCTTTCAAAAAAATCCTAGAAAAGTTGCATGCGATTGTTATGTAAGTTATGTACATATCTGGGTACAAAATCGTCTATCTGCTAAAAGGTGTAAATCCATTAAAAATCTTTTTCTTTCATGAATGCCTAGCTTTGTAAATGTTTGTAAATCAATTTATGTAAAATATTGTATTACCAGCAACACCTGTCCATTGAAAACTCCGACGTTTGACTGCTGGTTTTAAACGAAACCAAAGACTTCTCTTTATGTTTTTCTTAAACTTACCGATTCCACACTGAAAACATCTCACACAGTCTTCAAAATCTACAAATAAAACGAGAACGTTATTGCAGAGTTGTCAATGATCTTTATAATTTTACATACACAGAGGTTAAAGATACCAATGAGGAAATAAAAATTAAAGCAAAGGACGGACATATAATATGTTTGCGAAATAGGAAACGACCAATGATAGTTAATAAAAGACTACAGAGAAAACTAAATCATGTAAATATGGTCACACAACCCTAATATAAAACGGAGAGTGAACTCATGTGCTTCACAAGGGTAAGCAGTTTCAGATCCAATAGAAGCATCCGTCATAAATGAAGTTACAACAAGAGGCTGTCAGAGTGACAGCAAACCAGATTTTCCTGCAGAGGTCGAACCCTGAACAATTGAGCAAGTATGGACACAACATTTAAGCTTAAAACAGCTCTGAATTTGGATTGTGATTGAATATTTGACACAGCATAGGTTTGTGACACAAAATGAATGTGGTCAAAGAACTGAAAAATTTGAAATTGGACATTTACCTATTATTGTCCAATATCCAAAATCTAAGTACATAGTGAGAATCAGCATATCAAAGAACCCCAAGAATTCAATTTTTGATAAAATACTTATTAATTACATTTCTGTTAAAAGGAAAATAACTTAAAATAAACAAAAGACCAAATGACATAGAAATTAATTATTAATTTGTGTTCAAACGGAAATAACTCAAACTCATATAATAAAAATCAATTTTGCTACTGAAAGGTCTACAACTTCACAACAAGAACAGCTAAAATCGGGAAAATTAAACTTGAACTTCATTTAGTAACTGAAAATAACATATCTAAATTTGAAAAGATTTCGTCAAAGCGTTTTCATGTTAATAAACGGACACTGTTTAGCAGCAGAAAACCGCCCACATGCTCGCCCGCCCGCCGTACATCCCCAAATCAATAATCGATTTTTCTTTCAAAAATCCGGTTAATAAAAAGATGGCGTGCATTTGGTAAAGGCATTCAAGCTCAATTCAAATGTTAATGTTGGTCTTGATACGGTTTACAAAATCGACAGTAAAGGAATTAAAAAGAGGTTAAAGAAAAAAATAATAGAGAATAGAGAAAAATTAGCAAATAAGATAATAAACAGAGAATAATTGATGCAACAGTGTAATTTATAGAGATTATTAGGTCAAACGAGTATAAAGAACATGAAATGAGAAATTAAAATTTACAGAAATGAAAACCCAAGTTAATAACTATCATAAATTGGAACTAACATAAATTGAGTGTGTTATATTGAAACACTTTTTTTGTGCATTTCAATTGATGTAATCATAAGGATACTTCTATTTTCGAGGATTTATGCAGATACATAATAAAAGATCACCCATGTCAATTGTACTGCATAACATAAAAAACTTAAAGCAACAAAACACTAAACAAATTTGTTCGTGTATTCAACAGTTTGATATCTAATCACTTTTGCAACGTTTTATAATTCCATTAAATCCTATTAACTATCGGAAATTCGAAAACGCCTGCGACACATGTGCAAGAATCTGATAAATGGTTTCCTATGTAGTTTCTACTAATATAATATAAGAACGTTCCAAAGGGAAGTAAATATGGAAAACTTACGAGTGAAGAATAATCCACACTCAGAAAGGTCATAAGGGTGAAGAAAACTTCTATATGCTGGCCAATCAAAATACGAATCTTTCCTGCTCTGAAGTGACTCATAGTTAGGGTATTTCAATTGTGACGGTCTTGCCGGACGGTGTGCGGTGGAATCTGTACTTAATGCTTCGTCATAACTTGTGTATGGTATATTCTGATCAAAAGTGTCTGGTAATCTCTGTAATATCTGTTGAGATGGTAAAGATAAGTCTGTATCTTGAGGTTGATTGTTATCTCTAGAAAGTAACATTTGTTCTTCAGACATTAATGATAGGTGATTGAAATCGTGACTGAAATTTGGCTCACCGTCCATTGATAACTGCCGCTCTGAAAATGGTGTCCTACCATTCATAGAACTTATGGATGACCGGGGCCAATTGCTTAAAATATAGTAAGAACATGGATTGCGAGACAAGGTATGTTCCCTTCCATAATCACTATCAGAAAGTCTATATCCTTCTGCAAAATAATGTACTGAGTTGTTTGAGCTTGGATATTGCTGACCAGTTGATTGGCCTTCCGTCATTGACATCGAAGATGACACATGATTTGTCATATTTGAGAATATTCTTTCCGACTGTTGGCTAAGAAAAGCTGATGCGATATTGCTCGATGTGCTTCCCTGCATATTCGACGGAAATTGTGCAGCATTATGAGATGTAGATATCAACAAGCTATCGAAACTGTCCTCATGTCCTGCATCGGTACACATGATTTGCTCACAGGTAATATCCCCATTGGATACGTTTGCATGGCTGCCTTCTGTTCTGCCTGAAAAACATGTTTATTGTCCGATTTCAATTTAAGTGTGCATAATATGAGATATACGTTTAACGTTAATACGATGGCAACACACTGCTTAAAAATCCTCGAGTCTTTAAAAGTAAAAATAAAAGAGGAGATATGACATTTTTTGGCAGTTTCGCATTGCGTGCAAGGAACAGGTTTGCAGCCTAAATGCAAATGATTATCACGAAATTCAAAAATATAGATTGAAGTGTTTGACAGACTTATGCATCTGGTACAGAAAAATTGGTACCGTTTATGTTATTATGAACGTCTGAAAATTCTTTTTTAGGAAATATAAAGTTCTTCTTCTATTTTCGAATTCCAGGGTCAAAAACGTGGCCTTACCATAAATTTACCTGTTAACAAATACTTTCAAAGTTTGGAAATGAAAAAATATGAATATGCTTGAGTATTCAGCCGTGCAACATATCAAATCTAAAAACCTTTTTAGTTATAAATACAATTTACTTTTTATTATTATTTAATTTTTTATCTGCCATTTAACTTTTGTCTTTTAAACTTGTATACGTTTCATATGCCTGATTAATCAAGAAATATAACAGAAGAAATATTGCATTATTGTGGACACGATTACAAAAATTCAATTGAAATTTTAAGAGCCCCAGATACCTTTAATACTTACAGAACCTCCACAAGGTGATTGCCAGATAATTTAAGTTCAATGGTTGAATTTGTCACAAATGTCTCCCTTTGTTGATCAGAACTTTTCTTTTTTTTAATAGGGAAAAAAATTGCAAATATATTTAAGATGAAGGATATTACGTCATTAGATAAAACGACAGACAGCACATCAAAAATCTTGTTTCATATTTATCTAGAGTCAAATGTGTGAACAAGGTTCAATGATACTAATTATAACAAATGACAAAAAAACATAACACAAATATTTGATATTTCCGTTACCCTCTTTTGAACAAATATTGATAAAATATGATGTTTATGAATTTAAAATTGGTCCCAATAAAACGCCAAATGTTTACTCTAATGAATGTTCATGTACCCTAGCTTCCTTGTCTATTCAACTCATCTTAATTATAAAGTTGAGAGTGGCAGTGTATCTTATTCGCCGATTATGTTTTAACCGAAAATAAGTCTTACTGAAGGAATCATATATATCATGTAAACTTAACATTCTCCATCAAAAATAAGGTAAAGTCCGAAGAACCCTGCTAGTTGGACAGGTGGACACGTTACTATCTTTCGTTAGCTTTCAATGACATTTTTTGTCTGTTTTTTTTCCCCTGTATTAAAGCAATGGGTTTGGTTTGCTACTTGATAAAAAAACTCCCCCTCCATTTTGAAAACAAAATATAAAATTCATTTCTATTAAAATATGTTAGCCGGTGTAAACTACTTATAAATGTTATAAAGTAGGACTCAAGGATACAAACGACCTTTTTGCTTGACTAACTTACAAAATGTATATCTTGATTATGTACGAAAATTTATTAGGCAACATAATTTATGTTGAATACAAATATAATATCTCATCTCAAAAATAGTAGCATCGTCCCATGAAACTATCAGTATAACTATTATGCAATCAAAATGGTTTAAAGCAACAACAACACAAATAGAAATTCAAACAACTTCAAAGGGAGTACTTTTAACAGTATCAGATGTTTATGATAGTCTATTTGCAAATTGCTGTCCATGCAAAGCATGATAATTTGAAGGTGATAAATAGGTGTTTCAACCAATTTCTAGGGAAAAAATAACTATAGACATCAAAAAATGTTTAGCCTAACAAAAGAGTGAATAAAGTGAAAATATTTGAAAAACTTAAAAATTACACACATTATGCACACAAAAAATATCTCCACTAGCTGTTGATATTGATTTTCAACAAAAATGTATGTCCGTCTTGAATGAAGCAACTCAAAAATGAATCTCTTTTTAACGGGTGAATTACGAATTTGGCAAAAGAATATTATCATGATAGAAAAAATCACACAAACCATCAGTTGTTATTGAATTTCTGCTGCTTAACAGATCCACTGGATCTGATTTCTTTTCTAGAATATGTAGGCAGTTTGGAGAATTCTTTTGATGAATATCTGCTGGGTTGCTATCAGTCCTCCAACCTTTTAAGCGTATTCCACAGCAATAACAAACTAGCTCATCTCCATTTCCTTCGGAAAAGAACCCGTCTTCTGCCAATCTAATAAGACTTATTCCATGTACTGGAAAATTGGATAATGTTGAAAGTCGCATAAGTTCATTATTCATTCTGCCTTCTGACAAAGATCCCGAACTTTCTTTATCTAAAATATTATTCAGTGACATTCGACTAACTGGATATGCAGTTATATCTTGGCATACATTGATAGTTTTAAGCTCGAGTAAAGACTGGAGGATACGTCGATCCTTCTGTATCTTCGTAATTGATGGTTTTCTGTCTAAGAGTGAAGATAATTTCTCCGATATTTCTTTTGTCCTGTTTTTATTATCATTTCGTCTTAAGCTTTCATACGCCAACACACAAATCAAAGAAAACATATAAATCAAAGAGCTACGTGCATAGTAAGGTATTGGTTTTTGTCTTATTTTGGAAGTGATTTCAATAACGTGCTTTCCGCAACCCGGATCATCACCTTGCTGTAGTGATAAGAGGAGTAAGCAGACGTTTCTTTTTCTTTGGATAAAATCCTGATTTAAATTCAAATTTGTGTGTAAATCATCCGAGCGTATATCACATATGTACCTCTGTAAACGTTTACTCGATATCTTCTTATGCAAACAAGGCGGATGCACACACGTGTGCTTGTAGTTACAGTTTAAAAGTACACTTAGAGACGAATCTGTATGAACTTTTCCGTTATTCTCAAAGTTATCTCCAATCGATTTACCGATAAGGGTATTTATAATAAGTCTAGCATTTTGTGCTGCAAATTTCTTCCATAACTGAATACAATCACTTTCAACTTGATAACTGGTTAGGAAATCCTGAACGGACATTGACTTTTTTGTATTGCATAAACTCACACTCTTTTCTATATTATGAATATGTTCCTTTTTGCTCGGATTTGAATATCTGCCATCAATTATTTGATTTGTAAAACATTTGTTTATTTCATGGCTACTTTTACATTTCTGATAATTTTGCCACTCAAAGTCGAATTTGTTTAATTCAAAATAATTTACTGCAAACAGAATGTGCAGAAGGTCATGTGAATAGAAACAAACATATCCATTGTTGTTCATTTGCAGTTTTATAGATTTCCAAATGCTAGCCAATCCTTTGTCGTTCCAAATGGATGCCATTTGAATATAATAACTCACATATTTTGGTAAACAGTGGTCAAAATTTTCAAAATGTGTGGTCACAAGATTTAAGTTTCCAACCAAAGAGCAATTTGAAAACATTGTCCGATAACCAGGCCGATCTGTACAATTTGTGCATTTAACCTGTGTACATAACTTTCTAGCTTTGATCATCATGTTTATGTCTCGTGTATTTTTTCTCGGTAATTTTGCAAAGAAACGTCTTCCATGACATGTAAGAATTACCGCAAGAAATTTTTCATATTATTAACCGCAACTGATCATAGCACTGCTTTATACCAGCTTGTTACAGTATTGTATTAAATGTCAGATATAATGTGTTATTTTCTATTTAAATAGCTATAAATAGTTTGAAAATTTTTGTTCTATTTTTAGATCTTCAATTTCCAGATCTTTATCAAGATTAAACAAGTTTTATCAATCCTTCTGTGTATTGTTAAATTGGTATAATCATATAGCTAAACAAGAACAGAGAACAATAAGGTGTTTATGCATACATCTTTCAAAGAATTTGAAAATACTCGCCACAATTCGAACATGTCGAAGGCCATTTTTCCATTAAATCAATCTGCGTTCAACAATGTACAATATATTCTTATATATGAATATCACAAGAATTTGATGAATATATGCATGCATTTTTATATTGTTTTTTTCGTTTTCTTTAATGTGAAAGCAAATAAATTACACCATTGTAGTTTGTAGGTACATGTACATACCGGTATATTTGATCTTAAAAATTGCATAATAAATTATGCACTACAGGTATACACTAGATATTATGATTTGAAATACTTCCAATCTGAAAATTTTCATAGTTCATGCGGAAAGATTTAAACTATAATGCACATATAGTTATGCAATATATGCATGGTATATCTAATCTTTACGTCATGGTGTGTCTAGAGATATTTTATTTTTTTTTATTTCGCTATTTTTCATCATATTTCCTTTCTTGTTTTTTGTTTGTTTTCCGCACGTCTTCCTTTTGTCATTAGTTGAATGTCGGTTCATTCAATTTTGTCAGTTAAACTTAATGCATGTTCATATGTAAAAATACATTTAAACATACCAGTAAGTGTTAATCTGTGTTTTATTTCTTGTTGACAAAATGAGTTTCTTCAGACACACAGGTATGTTCAGAGAAGAACGAAGATGATCCGTATTCTATCATCGTATTCTATTATCGTTAATGTAGTTCAAATAGCCCAAATTTTAAAAGAATTATAAGTGTATTTTTGGTCAACATTAAGTTAAAGACCTGAAACCTTGAGATGATTGTATTTTATAGAGATTAAACAAATACTATACTGAAAAGAAGCTTTTCATATTTCATATAGAAATGTAGGACAATGCCTTGCGATCTTTTCACAAATTTAAAATTTTGAATAAAGCAACAAACTGGGAAAATCCTTATCAGATATGAATTATATCAAATTTTTGAAGTTTTAAATATATATGTTTATTATTACACAAAGTAGTATATACAGCAGCCATACAGTTAGATACACATATGCGCAAAGCGCAAGAATCGCATGATAGGCCCATCTAATAGATATAAAAAACATTGCAAAAATAAAATGGAATATGTACATGATGTATAGAAGGCTTCTTATCAGAGGTCAGTGAAATTGACATATAGAAAACTGACGTATAAATATTGCCTTGACACATGACTGTTAACAGTTTTATAACTCTTGAACGACACACCAAACTATTTTCAAAATCGAAAGGAAGTCGACAATCATAAATATCAACAAAACTGTAAAGCATTTTGCAATAGTCTTACTCACACTAGAGCTAGTGTGCAGTCTGTACAAAAATCTATAAAACCAGATAGGTGAAGTTCAGTAACTTTCAAATGAAAAATCGGAAAATTTTCAAAATCAATAATAAGCTTAATTTTACCTAATTAAATACTCTGGTTAATTTCTAAGTAAATCGACACCAGGATACCTGAGTACGTGTACAAAATGTAAAAAATTAACTTATATCTGACATTTAAAGTCCCGTGACAAGTTCATAGATCTAAACATTGAGTCAAAGTCACAGGAAGATTTATCAATTCTCAATCAAAGTGTATCAGATCTTTTTATAATGTTTTACTAAGTTAAAGCTAAAAATGTATGTGATGATTTGGAAATTCTCAATAAAATATAATATTGACACTGTACACAATTGATTTACGGTATATTGCTTTCTTTTGGATGCTATTTATATAGAATATAGAAAATATGTATGCGACCGATAATAAATATGATATCTCATATTTGATTCTTTAGAAATATGTCGTTTTGTTGTGCATTTACAATATATATATGTATTATAGAAGGTAAGTTTAAATACTTTTCTTTTAAAATGCTTGTCATGTTGTTTAAGGTATGCACAGGTCAATAAACACTCAAAATAAATCTGAGATATTGGTACACTGACTGTGTTCTGTTAAAGTGATCGTCGACAATTGTCAATTGTAAAATATTAAATTTCTGGCTAAAATGCATTGCATACAGAAACGATGTCTTACCATTACTTTACCACAAAGCATGCACTTGAGAAGGATGGTGTTTCCTTCTGAAAATCCAGTAAAAGAATCTAAAACAAACGAAAAACGAACATACAAATAGTCAACAAAAGACTTAACTAAAGATTAAGGACTGCAAGTCAAAAATATGGTATCGCCAACCGGTATTATATTTTCAATACCTTGATGATGATGGATGAGGAATAGATACTGAACGTCCAGCGGCAAATCAATATGCATATTCAGGACGAGACATGTCAATGTAATTACAATATTAACCCTGCCTTGTACTAGACCGACATGCTGAGCCAGGTTTTTAAAGTGCTAGTTCACAAGGTAACAGTCCGCAGGAAGACATGTCACCTTATCCGGACACATTATTCTGACTCAGGGCCGATTAATATTTACTCTTACTCCTTAATGCTGCGTGCTTAGCGGTGAAGCAGCAAATACCAATTTGAAAGTCTTTGGTTTACCAACGACCTCCCGAATTCGAGGCGATAACGCTACCACGAGACCACCGAGGCGGTCTGCAATACCTTGATAACAAATAATTAAGCCTTGTAATAACTATTTCAAAACAAACGTTCAAATATTTGTAAAAACGTTTGTCTCTAATTTTTTGTTTTTTTGTTTTTTTATTAAATGACATGCAAAATGTTAATCATGGAGTTCTTAATTATTATCATATTGTAACAAACGTCATTTTAAAGGAGTTCTTTTATGAAACACCTCCAACTCACTCTTAATCCATAAAATATGCTGACTTTAATAAATATTCAGTTACGTCAGTCCATCCAAAAAGTTTGATATATACCAACTATATTCATATTTGGGAATGATTTCTTGCCGGCGATCGGCAGTTCTTTCCTAGGTACTCCTGCTTCCTCCAACCATCTAAACTGGCCAATATTATTTAACGAAGTGTGCTGCAAAAGTCGTTAAATATCATCAATCAATTTTCATCAATCATATGTAGCTCTGTGTTTGAACATTAATCAAATGTATCAGATTTGATGTTGCAAAATTAACTGAAAGAAAGAGAGTGTTTTTCTAAGATAATAATTCTTTATGGTTTCATTAGCAAGTCGCTTTTTTTGGACGATAATTGGACAAACAACGTTGTCAAAAAACACATTTTATTTCAAAGAAAATGTAGCAAAACATCCAGATAAGACCAGGAGACTTTCTCAACACAAGAACGGAGGTCTTAAATGCAAGAGTATTTTACAGGTTATAACAGAGAATCACTCAAATTCTATGTGTATTACCATAGTAACAAGAGTGGCAGTTAAAAGGTTATACATGTACTAAGTAACATGTCTTGTACATGTTGTAATCGTAACAATAATCAACATATATTTGTCGATGAAAATTTCCAGCTTACACTGATTTTATAAATAGAATGGATTTATTGTGTACATTTAACAACTTGTTTTGATATTACCAATATATAATATATTATGTAAATAACCGAAATTTACAGCTCAAAGCAAGGTTAAGACGCGAATCGAGATCTTCAGTCATGAAATTAACGAACATTATTTTCAAAACCGCAACAATTTAAATTTTATAAACAAACTGTTGAACCTTGTTTATGTAGATTTTTTAATTTTTTTACATACACGACATCTTCTTACTTTCAGTTTCTATCTTAAAAAAATCTTATTTCAATGACGTTGCACGGGGGGTCTATTTCTATGTAAAGGTAAACACAGACATTCTGCTGAGATGGGTAACTTTTTTGGAATGTCAAATATATCAATGGTTTGCAATTAAACGGATGTAATATACAATGGGTAGGAATTATTTACATGTCAATTGGCCATAAATGTTCATCTTCTTTTAATATGGGTGATCCCATGTGATTTACGTCTAAATAAGTAAATAAGATGTCATGATAGCTCGGAACTATTGATATAAATGGGTTGTGATTAATCTATGAAATGTTTAAGATGGTAGTGATTTTACCATAAACCAATATATGAAGTGGGTAGTTTGGGGAGGGGGGGGTTTAACCCTAGCCGGACTTCTGTACGCAACTTTTTATGTTGAGAACCACCCCCACCCACCTTTTTCTCCCGTGCGTTATACATATATTAAAAAGACTGTTTCCCATATATGACATTGGAAAAATTCTAGCAACCAAACTATATATATGGTAAGAAGTTTAACAATAAAAATAATATTTCGGACATTAGGACACGACAATTAATAATTTTTCATATTTTTGGTGGAGGTAGGGGGAAAGGGTGGATGCTGGAGAATATTTAAAATTGATATTCTGGTCTGGTAAGAACTGAAAAAAGGATAATCTTGCCCCAAGAAAAACGGAAAATAATAGCTACTATGTTTAAAAGAGAAATAAAATAAGCCGGACAAGCAAAATGAATATTCAGTCCTATAAAAAGCATCCTGCCCACATCACCCTCCACTCCCCTGAACATCAAAATATCCTTATATGATGTGCAAACATACTTATATGATGTGCATATAAACTTATATGATGTGCAAAAATACTAATATGATGTGCAAATGTACTAATATGATGTGCAAACATTCTTATATGATGTGCAAATATACTTATATGATGTGCAAATATATGATGTGCATTTTCCCTTATATTATGTACAACCATCTTTATATGATGTGGTTATGTCATTATATTATGTGCTTGTAATCTTATATGATGTGGTTCGGTTTACTTCATTATTATGATGTGGAAACGACATTATATAAATAACACATAGCTGAGAGGGT